AAACGACCCATTTCACCTAGGTTTGCTCATAAACGACTCATTTCACCTAGGTTTGCTCATAAACGACCCATTTCATCTAGGTTTGCTCATAAACGACCCATTTCACCTAGGTTTGCTCATAAACGACCCATTTCACCTAACTTAGCTCCAAAATGATCCATTTCACCTAGGATAGCTCATAAACTACCCATTTCACCTAGGTTAGCTCATAAACGATACATTTCACCTAAGTTAGCTAATATATGGCATATACTTCTTCTTCTAGTCTTCTTCTTCTATTCTTTTTCTTCTAGTCTAATTCTTCTTCCAGTCTTCTTTTTCTAACTTTCTTATTTGTCATTTTGCAGGTTTCATTCACTTCACGGAAGCCAGCTTCCTATGATGGATTGCTTGCTTTTTTCTGTTTTTTCCTTTGATGCACTTCTTGTATTCTACTCGCTTGCTATGATAAAACTTTGCATATTGTAATATGTATGGATCGATGGAACTATGTGCAACCTATTATGTATGTATGGATGGATATATATGTGCTGGATATTTATTATGTTGGATATATATGTGCTGGATATTTATGTGATGGATATATATGTGTTGTGAAATATTTGTTGTGATAATTGTTGGATATAAGAAAAACAGAACAAAAAAGAGGCAGTGCAGGCTCTTTGCCGTCCGCGGCAGACGGCAAAGACCCCTTTGCCGTCGGTGGCAGACGGCAAAGGGGGCACGTGGCGCCCACCTGTGCTTCCTGGGGATGGACCATTTGGCCAATTTGCCTACCGTGGCGGACGGCAAAGCAAAGCTGATGGCAAAGACTTTGCCTTTGCCGTCCGCCGGGCGGACGGCAAAAAAGAGCGGGCGCTGACGTATAGCTGACGTCGTCTGGCGGACGGCAAAGAGGCGCTCAAATTTGCCGTCCGCTGGCGGACGGCAAAGGCCGCCGTTAGCCGCCTAACGGAGTAACGCTGGCGGACGTGCAACATTTTGTCGTCCCCCCTCTTTGCCGTCAGTCGCTGTAGGCAAAGGGCTCTTTGCCGTCCGCCATAAAAAGCAGACGGCGAAGGACCTGTTTGCCGACCCTATCTTTGCCGTCACTGTTTGCCGTCCGCCGCGGATGGCAAAGTGCTTTGCCGTCAGCCGTCCCTGCCTTTGCTGCCCGCCATGACAGACGGCAAAGTACTGGATTCCTGTAGTGTTGGTGGATTGTGTGGTGGCTGCTCACTGCGGGTTGGACGGTGGTGGTGGCGCGGCCGGCTTGCGCTGGTCTGCTCGGAGAAGCGATCCGGGTGTAGACTCGGCTCCTTGATGCCCTTCGGCTTCGCCGGCGGTGCCACTGTTGTGATGTAGACTCGGCTGCGTGTGACTCTTCGTCCGGGTGTGGACTCGGTCGCTCGTTGCCCTTCGGCTGCACCAATAGCCTTGAGGCATCATGGATGGTCTCGGTTGATTGGAGCTATTCGTCTACGGTGGTGGTGTTCTCGTGCAGCTCAGGTTGGTAATGGTTGCTCAAGACCCTCTCATGGTTACCGTTGTGTTGCGGCGAGCTTGGTGCTCTTGGAGTTGTCTCGGCTCATCTTTGCTCAAGGATGGCGCAAGATGCCTTTCAATTCGTTCCGTTTTTCTGTGGCGGAGCCCCAGTCAAGGTTCATGTCTGGGATGACACTCGTTGATTGTGGATGCTCCTCAGTTGTGCCATGGGGCCGATATACCCACCAATGCGTTTGGCTGTTTGCAAAGTCCTGATATTGTGATCTCTTGACGACACCCCACATCTACCTGTATCTCTCATGATTATGGTCTTATATCTGTCAGCTAGGCCGTGCCTTGTACGGTTTTCGGCCCGGTTTTCCTTATAAACGGGGTCAATTTGTTAAGGTTTTCGATCCG